GTATTCAACAGTGGACTGAATCTGTAAAGAAAATTGCTCCTTACAGGAGCAGAAAATGCCTTAATCGCCAGTCTGAGGATTTGAAATATCCCCACTTTCAGCAACCTTTATGTCAAAGGCTCTGTCAGGCACCCTGCGGTCACAAGCAGCATTTTCAGTTAAGACCTGGAACAACCTGAAATGCAAACCCACAACACTTTATCCCTACCAGGGATGACTAAAGACAGACAGAGCACAGTCCAATATTGCAAGGATCCCCTGCTGTGTGCCACAGGGTGTCACATCACCTGGGCAGGAATAGAGGTGGCCCAGTTTCATGCTGACCAACTGCGTGTTATGCCATCCTCTCAGACTTAAATTGTATCTAGAACCGTGAAAACTGGAGAATCGTATGGTTTTCATTGATTTTCCTGGACATAAAACTGAAATTTCAAATGCAGCAGATGGCCAGGACCATATGGTTGCTATGGGGAGCATGGAATCACAGAATCCCAGAATGGTTTGGGTTGGAAGGGACCTTAAAGATCACCTCATTCCAACCCCCTGCCATGGGCAGGGACACCTTCCAGTGGAAGGATGCACTGGGCTGTTGGTTTGGACGTGGAATGATCTGAGAGATCTCTGCCAGACCTTTGCAATGTCCTGATCAGCTCCTCAGTGCAGGCTCTTGCTGCAGCCAGAGCTCTGCTTCTCCTGCAGGCTGAAAGAGCTCACTGAGCATTTCTCCTTGTGCAAGCACTATGGAAGTGCCAACTCACCTGGTGTGTTTTCAGGGAAGTCCTGTCCCTGGAGTTCCTGTACCTCAGAGTCATCAGTGGCTGTGCTGATGGATGCATTCGGATATTCAACTTCCTGACTGGCTCCTGCCTCAAAGTGTTGGAGCCCAGCGGCAGCAGGGACCCCGTGTCTGCTCTCTTTGTTGCAGGAAACAGGTGGGTGACAGCACTGCCAGCAGGCTCTGGCCCAAATTTGGTAGATTACACTGAAACTTAAGGAACTGTGTGTTTTTCCCTCTCACAAATAACTATTAAAGGGATCCACTATCTATTAACTGCTTCAATAATCTGGTTTAGTTGACAATGGCTAAAAAGATTTCCTTAGTCTCTTCAGCAATGTACAGTTTCCTGTTTCTCTACAGCTGAAGATACAGACCCAACTGTAAAGCTGAAATCAGAAATTCCAGGAGGTTGGAGAATCAAGCCAATACCTGGCAGTCTCTGCCTGTTCCCTGACCTACAGCCTCTTTGTAAAGGCCAAGAATGAGAAATCTTCCAGGTTCATTTTGCACCTCTAACTAAAGGTGGCTCCCAGCTTCTGTGGAAGCAGTGGGTAAAACATTGCTGTGCTTTGAGGGCTGGGTTGGCCACACTCTAAAACACAGCAATAAATAGGAAGATATGAAGAAATTAACGCCATCCGAACCAGCCCAGCACAGCCCTTCAATCCACACTCAGATGTCCCTGACATGGTATGTGTAGTGAGGTGCTTCCATCCTTTAGCACTACGCTGATCTAGCTCTGTCCACTGCTGAAAATTTTCATCCTAATTATTTTTAAATTAATTTTGCCATGGAGCTGCATGAAAAGAGCACCAGAGACTCACACAGAGCACAAGTTAAAATGTGCAGTGCCTGACTGATGGGGTCAGTTGCTGCTGCTCCTTCAAGGAGAGATGATGATCTCGGATCTGCTGGAGGCCCTGGGGTTTGTGCTGCCCAGGAGCCCCTCAGACAGGACCTGCCGTGTCTGTGATTCCTGTGCTTTTATGGCTCTTCCCTCCCTCCTCCAGGCTGGTGACCAACTCCCCCAGCAGACTGCTGCTGCTGCAGTTCGAGGATGTGCTGTGGGACTATTCCCTGCCCGCTGACAGAGAGGTGCTGAAGCAGGACAGGAGGTCCCAGAAGGGGAAGCGCCAGGGCGCCGGTGCAGAGCAGCAGCGAGCTCAGGACAAGTCCCCGAGATCTCGCCAGGGACCAAAGAGCCATGGAAGACCCAAAAGTATCACACTGAGCCTCTTCTTTTCTGGCTTTTCTAAACTGAGTCACAAACCAAGCAGCCACTGCCTCCAGCCCAGGCAATATTCAGACTCTGCTGTTGTCAAGAGCAGATGTGCTGTTCCATTTCAATGGTTCTGTCATTTTCTAGGCTTCTGTGAAACCTTTCTGCCTTTTTACAAGGGTTTGGTGAAACTTCAACACATTTCTCAGACAGGCACTGTCATTTTCCGACTGAGTAAGAGAGAAATCAGTAGTAGTATTCATATTTGCACAGCTGGTGGGCTTGGAAACACACTGCTGATTCAGGGCTTGAATTATTCATTACAAACACCCCAGAAAGTGAGAGAACACCTACATTCAGGATCTGCCATCACTGGGAAAGGCAACTGCACAGAAACAGGCACCTTTTCAATTGTAACAAGTGATGTTATTTTGTTTTTAGTCAGAGCTATTCAATGCAGTGTGATGACAAATCCTCCAGCTCCACAAACTGAGTATTGCAGATAAACTGATGGGCTGGGAAAAGGCTCCTGCTGTCCAGGCCAGCAGATGGCAACTGATGCTCTGCTTGGTAAAAGACAGGACCCAGGGAACAGCTGGAGCTAGGCCAGGGCAGGTCAGGCTGGATTTCAGGGAAAGGTCCTGCTCCAGAGGGTGCTGGCACTGCCCAGGCTGCCCAGGGAATGGGCACGGCCCCGAGGCTGCCAGAGCTCCAGGAGCCTTTGGACACCCTGCCAGGGATGCCCAGGGTGGGACTGCTGGGGGTCTGGGCAGGGCAGGGGCTGGGCTGGACGATCCTTGTGGGTCCCTCCCAACTCAGCTTCTTCAGCAATTCTCTGGCTCTGTGCTCTGCAGTGTGTGGGAAAGCCTCTCAACCCCAAATGTGTTGCTTTGTTTTTGGTTGCAGGTGATGAAGCTGAACAGGGCCCTGCTTCCCCTGCACCTGAGGAGGCAGAGGCCACTCTGGAGCGTGAGCTGCCCCAGAGAGACCCAAGGAGTCCCCTGTCCCCTGACAAGTTCCTCTTAACCATCGGCAGGCTGCAGAGCTTCTGCAAGCCAGCCGCAGCCAGCCGCAGCCCCAGCCTGCTCTCTGCCAAAGGCAGGGCAGCCCAGCAGCAGCGCCCTGGGGAGGTGCCGCTGCCCAGCACGGCCCTGCAGCACCGGGAGGAGCGGGCAGCCCAGCTCCAGCGCGCCAGGCTGCACAGCCGCTCTCTGACCGCGACAAAAATCTCAACGCCCTTTGGAAGCAAAACGCTGCGGCTCAGGCTGGAGAACTCTTTGCACAGCCCCGCTCTGAAATCCTCCATCCCTGCTCCCCGTGTTGTAAGTCCCAAGTTTTGTGGCTCGCTGGGAGAAAGGAAAACTCCCAGCGGCCATGGGAAAGACCCTCTTGGTCCCACAGACTGGGATCAGCTCATCGATCTCTGCACAGCTTCTTCAGAGCTGATCCAACCAACGCCTGGCACGGCTGCAGAGATGAGGAATGGAGCTGCCAGGAGAATAAAGCCCTCGTGTCCTGTCGCTTCCCGCAGGGACAGTGGGCTCAGGCTCCTGACAGCAGAGCAGGAGGTGCGTGAGGCAGCCCTGGCAGCTCAGCATCAGGCACAGCAGGCAAAGCCCACGGAAGATAAAGACAGAGCCAGAAGGAAAGCCTGGCTGAGGAAAATGAAAGGCCTACCTGTGGATTCTTTTACTGGGGAGAGGAAAACACCTGCTCCAGAACTTGGGCACAACACGTTTATCTGAGGTGATCCCCAAGCCCGGCCAACAGCCACGACCTGGGATTCTGGTGTCCAGCTGAGTCTGCCATGTGGCTTTAGGTATAAAATACAGATGCATTCATTTATGTACATTTAAGTATGTTTGGTATATTTAAGGATACTCCCTGTGGTTTGAAGTGTAAAACACTGCCCCACTGTAAGTGTTCCTAAGAAATACTGTTGGTATATTCAGCTATTTGTCAAGGCAGTGAATGGACCAAGCCCTCTCCTGGATTTAACTCCCTAAACCTGCTGTCATTACCAACATGGCACTGTCTGACACCAACACAGCCCAGGATGGGCTCAACCCTGTGAGAATAATAATAAAAACTTCCTATCAGAGCTTCTGTGGATTGATCAGGGTGTGGAAGCTGGAGATGTGTGGACTGAAAGCCAACAGATCAGTAGCACAAAGTCTGCTTGGAGGCCAGTAGCTGGGGGTTGATCCTGGGTCTGATTTTGTTTAACATCATCATTAATTAATGCCCCAGACCATGGGCAGGGTGCCCTGAGGTGCCACCGACCCCAGGGAGGTGCTGCCATCCAGAGGGACCTGGCCAGGCTGGACGGAGCTGAGGGAACCCTGGGGAGGTTCAGCAGGGGAAGCTCCAGCGCTGCCCTGGGGAAGAACTGCCCCAGGACCTGTGGAAAGCAGCTTAGACTTCATTTCTACGAAATGCAAAATAGGGTAAGGGGCTCAATTTCCCCATTTCTGTGGATCAGTGCCTACTTGTACTTGATTGTGGAAGGTTTCCTGTCCATGGCAGGGGGATGGAACTGGATGGTCTTCAAGGTTTCTTCCAACCCCAACCACCCTGTCATTTTGTGGTTTCCTCTAATGCTGAGAACTTAACAGGACAAAAACCTTTCTAGTATTTGAAAAAACCTATTTATCTAGCTTTCAGTGTCTGGGCTGGTGTACCAAAAATCTGTTGTATCAGAGGTTTGAGAGAGGCCAGTTCTGCCCATGGTCATGCCAAGGGGCCTTCAGCAGCTGTTCTGGTCTGAAATTACAGTCTCTGAAACTGTCCTCACAGTGGGGCTGCGATTAGTGTTGGTTTGTTTAATTCAATGCCATCTTCGACTCGCAAACGCTGGGATGAAGCCAGCGCAAAATAACCGCGGGAGGCTGGCAGCTGGCCCGGGGCCGAGCCGGGGCACGGGGGCCAGCCGGGCAGGACGGAGCGATGGCAGCTCCGCCGCACGATGGCAGCTTCGCCCAAGGAACGAGGATAAACCCACCCTGCTGCGGCCAAGGAACCGCGCCTCAGCCCGCGGGGAAACGCCTCCATAAAGGCTGGAGGGAAAACATCAGGGAAGGGCTGGTTCCTTTTCGGCCACGACGAAGTGAGGAGGATCACAGGGCTGCGTTCAGCTTGGAGTCCGTAAATCAGCCCCGCCCTGCAGCTGTGGGTGCTCCGGTGCTAGCAGCCCGGATCCCCCGGGACCCTCAGGCGGTGCCGGTCCCTCGGGGTCCCTCCGGGTCCCCCGCTCCCCTCAGGGTCCCCCCGGGTCCCTCAGCGCCGTTGGCGGCAGCGCCACCCGCCCCAGCCACGTCTCGCGCCCGGCTCCCGCTAGCGCGCACGCGCAGGGGGCGGAGCGGCCGAGCGGGGTCACGGAACGCAACGCGATTGGTCCGCGGCCGTGACGTATGCGGCGAGGCGGAAGTGGCGGCTCCGACCATGGTACGGGACCGGGACCTGGGACATAGGACCGGGGTCTAAATTCGGACTGGGACCAGGGGCTTGGGCACGGATCACAGGACCGGGATCTCGGGGCCGGAGCAGGGGCCTGGGCACGGCTGATAGGATCGGGGCCGGGACCGGAGCGGGACCCGCTTCCCGCAGGCCCCGGGCGGGCTGCGGGCCCGGAGGCGCTCTGTGCCGGGACAGGCCCTGCACAGCCGTGCCCGCGGTGCGTGACACGGACGGAGCTGCTGGCACCCGAGCTCGGGGTCACTTCGCACCGCTGCTTCCAGCTCCGACCATGGTAGAGCTTCTCTCCCAGCAGAGCTTCTCTCCCGGCAGTTCTCCCTCCTGGCCGCGGTGCCGGGCACTGACTGTCCTGCAAGGCTCAGGAACAAAAGCTCTGCCCCAGCTGGAGTTAGCGGGCAGGGAGAACACGTGTGGCAGGCTGTGTGCCCCGGCCAGGCGCTCCTTGCACCCCTGGGAGCAGCGGGTTCGTGATCAGCGGGGGGCTCAGCTGCAGCTCACCAATCCGAGCCTGATGATCATCTCTGAGATCACACTGTAGGCTTGTGTGTGGTTAAATCTTCACGTTCTTCCCAAATGCATTCTGATCCTGAGGTGCCTCTGTGGTTTTCTGGGTGATGAGCACTGTCCCCGGCTGATGTTGACAGGGGTTTTATTTTTCTCCTGTAACCCTTTGCCTCTGCTCCACTGCAGGACAGCAGTGATGACATTGAAGATGTGTCTCTCTTTGATGCAGATGATGATGTATCCAGGAGATCCAAAAAGTCAAAAATAAGGTTGGTGGTGACAGAGGGAGTTTCTGGAATGTCTCCTCTTTGTGTCAGCTCCCAGGCAGTTATTTCCCACATTTCCTGGACTTTGGATCCATGTTACGATGCTGACCCTTACCCTTGGCAGTGTCACTTGTCTGCAGGAGCTGTGACTGTCCTGTCCTTCATTCCAGGCACCCAGTGGCATCATTTTTCCACTTATTCTTCCGAGTCAGTGCCATTGTTGTTTACCTGCTCTGTGAGCTCTTAACCAGCAGCTTCATTGCCTGCATGGTGACCATCATCCTCCTCCTGTCCTGTGACTTCTGGGCTGTAAAGGTGAGTTCCCCTTGTGCCTTTTGTTGTCTTTGCCTTGCTTGTAAAAATAACTGACAGTGATGCTCATGTCTGAAAAAAGTCATTTATTTGTGCCTCTCCCACAAAATGATACCCCAAAAACACCCTCAGGTACTGGGGTGGATTGCAGAGAGTTGTGAAATAAACTCTGACACCTCTGTGCACTTGGCTCCTTTTGAAAGTCCAGTGCAGAGCGTTGATTAGACTCCCTTGTGAGGCAGCACAGGCTTTGTCACCAGCTCAGAAGCACCACAAACCTGCCCCTTGTGCTGGCTCTCTGTGGCTTGCTGTGGCTCTCGTTCTCCCACGTGTGAGGCAGATGGGCACCCTGGAAAGCAGCAGCCCAGGCCCTGAGCTGTGCCAGGAGGTTTCTTTGGCAGAAGAGCAGAGCTCAGGGGTTCTCCTCTCTTTCAGAACGTCACAGGGCGGCTCATGGTTGGCCTTCGCTGGTGGAACCAGGTGGATGATGATGGCAGGAGTCACTGGGTGTTTGAGGCCAGGAAGGTGATGTTGTTCTAACCTTGTCTGCGTTATGAACCCCCTGGTACTGGGAGCTGCTGCTGCTGAGGGGAGATTGCTGGCAGCCACAGATCTGGGACCTTGTTTTGTGCAGGCTGCTGGATGAGCTTTTTGGTTGTTGAGTTATTAAAAAGTTCTCATGATGTATTGATCTGGCTTAATGTAGGTAATGCAAGTCTGTGGTTTTTGGAGGGAGGAAATGACTCCTTTGGCTGTTTATAAGCTTTGTAACTGAACCATGCAGGAATTGTCATTTTTCCCAAATTACCCTTCTAGCCCCAAGCATTCCAAGAGGTTTTGACGCTGGTGCTTCCAGTGATTCTGAGAGAAAAACTGAGAAGATTCCCTTAAGTGGAAACACTTCCTGTTGCAGAGATGTCTTGTGTGATGCAGAAATTAGTCTTGGAAGCACCCAGTGCTGTTGTGTGGAGGGAAATCCCAGGGAGTGTGGGGATTCTGCCCTGGTTTTAAGGACATGGGATCTGTAGGATGGAGCAGCCTGCTCACTGCCATTTCCTTTCTGTTTCAGGTGTCAGCACAAGGGGGTAAAACCTCATCTGAAGCAGAGTCCCGAATTTTCTGGCTGGGCCTGATCACCTGCCCTATGATCTGGGTGATCTTTGCCTTCAGTGCTCTCTTCTCTTTCAAAGTGAAGTGGTTGGTGAGTGCCCCCTGAGCCCCACTGGCTCTGCCCTGTGGGAGCCAGGAGCTGCCAGCTGCTGATGCTTTTTCCCTGTCACAGGCCGTGGTGGTGATGGGGGTGGTGCTGCAGGGAGCCAACCTCTATGGCTACGTCAGGTGTAAAGTTGGCAGCAGGAAGAACCTGACCAGCATGGCAACCAGCTACCTGGGGAAGCAGTTCCTGCGGCAGGTGAGGCCTCCAGGGCTCTGGGATCCCTGGGGAAAACAAGAGGGGGTGGTTGGTGTTCTGAGCTGTGCAGTGGGACCCTTCCCTCGCTGCTGCTTGGGAGCCTGAGCCCCGTTAATTAAGGCTCAGAGCACTGCTAATTGCTGCCACCCAGCCCCACGTGCAGTGCTGTGGTATTGGCTGGTGCCGTGGGGAAATGCCATGGGAATTTCTGGAATATGGCTGGTGTGCTGGGAGTCACAGCTGGCTGAAAGGGCTGCCACTGCCCTTTGTGTTCTCTCCCACCTCCACCCAGCTCTCCCAGCAGCTCCTGTTCTTCCCCAGCTCTGGGTTTCCCCCTTCCAGGAAAGGGAACAAGTGTTCCAGCAGGAACAACCACCCCATTCCACCCCAGTGCTGCTGGACTGCCTTCTCTGGCCGCATTGGTGACTCTGGCAGAGGTGTTCTGGCTGCCACAGGTTCACAGATATTTGCTGTAATTACTGCCATTAGTGTGATCAGAAGCTCAAACACTGATGACCTTTCTTGGCACTCTGCGCTGGGCCCATCCTGTTCTTGGTGTGCTCCTGAATTCTTGTACCCTGGAGGGGTTACCCAGATGCCCAGGCCAGTCTCAGGCTCTGGCAGAAATGAATGTTGTGCCCCCAAATCCCAGCAGTGGCTCACAGAGTTCTCCTGGCCTCTTTGATCTTGCCTCCTGCAGACCGTGGCTACAGAGGACCAAGCAGCATCCTGAGTGTGGGGGGAGCCTCCAGCCAGGCTGCATTCCCAGCAGTGACCACAGAGAAGTTGCTCTGAGCAATTTGGGAGCTGCACACAAGGTGTGAATCAAAAGAAGTAAATAAATTGTGCAAGACTTGAGGTTTACACTCCTGGCAACTTATATTCCATTTTCCACTAGCAGTTTGTGTTTAAGTCTTCTCTTTAGTTTGATTAACAATAATTAATTTGCTTAAACTTTAAATTAAAAGATCACCTGAGTGGGTTTCATAGAGGTTTAGAACTACTGGATGAGTTAAAAAATAATTGCTGGAGATTCTTCAGAAAAGCCATGTACAATCTGAGCCTTGGGAACTCTCCTGCTCCTTCAGCACTTGGTGCCTGGGTGCTTTCAGTTTGGGCAGGTTTGGCTCTTGGAGGTTGTTGCTGCTCCTGCTACAGTTTAAGGAGTGAGTTTTTGGCCCTGCATCCCTCACTGTGATTGGAATGGCTCTGAGTGGCTGCAGTGAGGGGCATCTGAAGGAAGTGGAGCTGCTGGGAAGACCCCTGAAGGCCCAAGGCAGCTGCAGAAGGGGACCTGTGAGCAGCCCTGGTTTCTGAAGCACTCACAGACCTGGAGAACATCCTAAAGCCCTGGATCTGTGGGAATCCCTGCAGGCCTGGGCCTGTCTGGAGAGAGTGGAAGAGCAGAAGCAGTTTCCAGGGAAGGCTGCACCCCGTTCCAGGCAGGGGCTGTGAGAGCAGCCCTTGTCTGCCTGGCCTGTCACACTGAGGTGACAGGGGGCCAGGGGGTGTCCTGGAGGGGACAGCAGGCGGTGGGGATGTGAGTTCCCTGGCACAGGGCTGGCACTGGCAGGGTGTCACCCTCCTGCAGACCAGCTCTGTGCTGTCCCTGAGCTCCCCAAGGAGACTGAGCTGGGGACAGCCCTGTGTGGGGTGGCAGTGGTGTGCTCTGAGCTCATCCCTGCAGAGAGGCCAGCTCCTCTCTGGGGCTGTGTCCCTGGAGCTTGTGCTTCCACAGCAGCAGCTGAACGTTCTGGGTCAGGAATTGTGAGTGAAGAGTTCACATGGTGGTTTCTTTTTGACTGCTGGGTGCTGTGAATTGTGGAGTTGCATTACCCTGGTTCCTCTCCCTGTGCTCTGCAGTGCTGGCAGCTGTACATTTGTTTAACTCTGGATTGATACCTTCCTTTTGTAAATACGTATTTATAAAATCTTGAAATTAAAATGCTGCTTTGTTTAACCAGCCCAGACATCCCTTCTGTGGTTCATGGCTCAGCTTCATTTCTGCCCCGTGTCCTTGTCAGGCACCTTTAGCAGGAGTTTGTTGTCCATTTAAACTGTTCTGTCAGCCAGGGCTCTGCAGCTTTCCCTGGGCAAACTCTGCCCCAGCTGCTGGAGCTGTCACCACACAGAGCTGAAGCTGTTGTCTCCCCAAGGCTCATCTCCTTTGGAGGGCACTCAGAGGTGCCCCTTGCTCAGTCCCACACCAGAGGAACTTCAGTCCCCATTTACATCCCAGGGAACAGTCGTTTCTAGGGAATCAGTGTGAAGGGAGGCCAAATTCAGTCAAACCCCCAAGTAAAGACCCTTCAGCAGCCAATGGGACGTGCAGGTCCTGCAGGGAGGAGTGGGAATCCCTCCTGCTCCAGCCCAGCCAGCCCCAGTTCGCTGCTGGCCGAGGGGCTGGCACAGCTCCAGCCACGAGCTGCTGCTCTAAAATGTGTTAAAAGGTTTGGACTCAATGTTTATTCACCTGCTGCCAAAGCTCCCCCCAGACTCCTGGAAAACAGGGCTTTTCTGGAAGTTCAGTTTATTTAACCAAGGACAGAGGCATTTCTTAGTAGGTGCCTTTAAATAGAGCCTTCTTTGGGTTATTTTTAGCTCTTGGCAAACATTCAGGCTTTTGGCTTCTGAGAAACTGGCAGTTTATTGCATTCCTGTCGTGGATCAGAACCAAATTTCTTATCTGTGCTGCAGTTGGGTGTGAGGCTGGTTTGATTCTCACTCGATGTGTGCTGGGGTTTCCTGGGGAGCAGGAAGTGGGAGGTGCCTCGGAGCAGAGAAATTCTCTGAATGTGCTTTTTTCCACGAGCCCCGGGACTCCGCACGGAGCCAGCTTCGTGAGCATCACTGGGTCATGCTGGCCCCACCCCAGAGCTGGGTGGGGCTGAGCTTGGAGGTTTAGAGAGCAGAAACACTCCAGGAGCAATAATAATAATAAAATTTTTTTTAAAAATCAGTAATAGTACTTTTTGCTCTGAAATAGTGAGATCTGTCTGGGATGGTGCAAGCACAGCTGGGAGTTTGGCTTGGGATTATTCTCATCTCACAGGCACAGCCCTGCTTGGGGTCCTGGTTGGGCCAGGAAGGGAGCAGCTGGGCTAGCACAGGCCCTGGGGCACTCTGGCTGTCTGGGGAGCTCACACCGAGCATGATAGTAGTTGTCACCGGGTGAAAAGTGGAATTTTGGCGATTTTTACCACAGGGGTCTAGAAGGCAAGATGGAGGGATGTGGGCATTGTCCCATGCTTCTTCCTTCTTCCTCATAGCCTCCATCTTCTTGGTGATGGTGGCACATTTAGGTTGGCCTAAAGTAGAAGTAGACAGTGTAACAAACATAGATGATAGGTATTGGAAAATAACTGTAAATAAAGTACACATCGTTTTTAGTATAAAGAGATAGCACCGCCTCAAGTGTGCCCTTGACAGACCTGCAGAGCAGACCTCTGCGGCTCGGAGAGAAAATATTTTGGATACTAGATAATAAACAACCTTGTAAACACGAGCCGAAGAATCCCGACTCTTTCTTCGACCACCGGGCTGGGAGAAAAGGACTCTCGGGTCATCCCGAAAGCAGGAAACCCGAGACAGCAGCAGCAGCAGCAAACATCTGGAGCCGCACAGCTGGGCTGCCCGTCCCGGGCTCGGCCCCCAGCCCTCTCCTCCCCAGGCCCGCACGGCAGCAGAGGGAGCCCTCACGCTGTTCTTTACAGAACAATTAAATAAATAATCATTTCAAAACCGCGCGGAGAACGAGCCCAGGTCGGGCTAGTTGGAAGCGAGTCCCGGGATCGCTCCCGCGCCCTGAGCAGCGCCAGAGCCGCCTGCGGGCGGGCACTGCCGTGGGCACGGTGCCACCCCCGCTGCCAGCCGGCCTCGCAGAGAGAGGGGTGACACACAGGGGCACGGCCAGCAGCGCTGGGGCCGGGCAGGGCCACAGCGGGATGTGAGGGATACAACGGGAACATGATTCACCGCTCGGCTTACAGGGGTGGGAGCAGCCCTGCAGCTGGAAAAAGGCAGCAAAAAGTGAATTTGCTGCCAGCTCTGTGTGTGTGGGACCGGCTGCCTGGGCTGGCTGCTCAAACAGCCCTCGGGCCCGCCCCGATTTGGGGGAATAAGCTGTGATTTAATAAATGCTTCCTAGGAAAGGATTCGGCCCAGGGCCTCAGGTGGAAAGGTCCATTAAAAATCAGTCCAAATGGCCAAAGGAGGATTTTCCATCTGCACCCAAGTCTGCAAGCAAATACAGGCATTTGTAGGAAGAGCTGTCATCCTGCAATGATTTCTGAAAAAAAGGAGAAAGTACAGGCAGGGAATGACAAATGGGAGTGGGTGGGAATGGGCTGATCCATGGGCTGATTTGGGATGGATTACATGGATTTTTGACCTTCAGTGCCTGCTTAACTTAGTCTCAACACCGTCCAAGGTGTGGAAGCAGCGGGAGCCCTGCAATTCCCTCAGGGAATAACTCCCAGCTCTGCCCCCTGAGCATCCTCCTCTGGTGGAGCATCCACAGCCCCAGATGTGAACCCACAGCTCAGGTCTCTCCTGCTCTAAATATGTACCAGGAGGAAATTCCAGCCCTGGCCCCTCTTGGCAGAGCTCTCGGCTCTGCTCTCGTGGTTTGAGCCGCAGGACCTCTGACTTCCAGCTGCAAAAATCTTGTAGTTACACAAGAGGAAGCAGCCCAGCTCATGTGCACGGGAATTATCCCGTGTCCTGAAGCTCTGCCGGGCCTGGAAGCCATCTGTGTGACCCTTCCCGGGGTCGGGGGGGAGACATTCCGTCTTTCCTGTGTCATTCTGAATAAAAAGCCAAAATCTGGCTGCTGCTCGCAGCCCTGGCAGGCGCTGGGCCCGTGTGTGGGACACTCTGAGCTGTTTTCCTTAAATGTGATTTAGCAACGCCCAAGCTTGTCCAGCCGGGAGCCGCCGGATCCCGGGGATGTGTCAGGGCCTTCAAGGAAAGGGAATTAAAAATGAGCCCGGCTCAAGGGCTGGAACCTTGGAAGTCTGCAGGACACAGCAGCTGCGAGGGGAATGGTGACGATCTCGCTGTCTGGAGGGAATTGGAAGCATGGACGTGGATTCGAGCTGTGGGAGCATTGCCTGGACGCTGAGAGATGTGGAATTTATTGCAATTTATTGCCATTCCTGACCTGTATTTGCTGGTAGCTGAACAGTGTCACTCACCGACAACCAGAGAAGGTTCCAATTAACTGATTTCACTTTTAGTAGTTTGTTCAAACCAACCCCATACAGGTGAAATCCAATCCACCCCATTTTAAGCCCGTGGAGCAGCCCTCAGCACACCCCCACATCCAAGGAATCAGTGTCCCAGTAGCTCTCAGCAGGTGGATTCGGTGTGTCCAGCTCCAGGTGTGACAAACAAACCCCAAAAAGCATGTTTCTGTCAGAACAGAATAGAAATTACTTTTCATATTTCAATACTGGAGTTGGAGTTCAGTGTCTCCTCACTGCCCCTCTCCTTCCCACCAACACAAACGTGTGCCAGGGCTGTGCAGATAAACCATAAATAAACTGATCCCAGGAGAGGCTCTGTGCCTGCTCCTGGGGTGTGATCTCTGGGGGAACACCTGGCAGCCCACATCCAAGGAATCAGTGTCCCAGTAGCTCTCAGCAGGTGGATTCGGTGTGTCCAGCTCCAGGTGTGACAAACAAACCCCAAAAAGCATGTTTCTGTCAGAACAGAATAGAAATTACTTTTCATATTTCAATACTGGAGTTGGAGTTCAGTGTCTCCTCACTGCCCCTCTCCTTCCCACCAACACAAACGTGTGCCAGGGCTGTGCAGATAAACCATAAATAAACTGATCCCAGGAGAGGCTCTGTGCCTGCTCCTGGGGTGTGATCTCTGGGGGAACACCTGGCAGGCTGTGCAGATAAACCATAAATAAACTGATCCCAGGAGAGGCTCTGTGCCTGCTCCTGGGGTGTGATCTCTGGGGGAACACCTGGCAGGCTGTGCAGATAAACCATAAATAAACTGATCCCAGGAGAGGCTCTGTGCCTGCTCCTGGGGTGGGATCTCTGGGGGAACGCCTGGCAGGCTGTGCAGCTCCACCACAGGGAGGGTCACTGTGGGTTCTCTGTGTGGGACCAAGGCCCAAGACATGGAGCAGGAGCTTTTCATGCTGATACTGCCCAGGAGTGGGGTGGAAGGCCAGGCTCTGTCCTCAGGCAGGGTGGGACACGAGGCCAATGTGACCATGGGTGACAAAGCTCCCTGCCCCTGCCAGAGGGTGCCAGGGCCTTGTCTGAGCCTCCCAAACCTTCTCCCAACCCTTCCTTTAGAGCTGGCCCTGCTGCGATGGGCTGGGGAGAGCCAAACTGTGCTTGGCTCCCCCAGAACAGGTCCAAGCTGTGAACGGGGCCAGGGGCTGGCACAGGAATGCAGGGATGAATTCCTGCAGGGAATTCAGGAGGGACAGCAGCCTGAGGAGGAGGGGAGGCAGTGGCCCTGGCTGGTTCCTGAGCTCCACGCTCCCTGACAGGAAAAGCAGTGCCTGCCTTGCCTGCCCTGGCAGGGCTGAGGCTGTTTTGCTGTGCCGGGAGAGGCTGGAGCTGTCCGAGCCCTCGCTGGGACAGCTCCCACCGCTCCCTCCCACCATGCAGAACGCCAGGGTGACTCAGATTTCCCGGAGATGCTGTTATCTCCTCCTGCCCTCTGCCTGTCCCCAGTGTGTTGGGCTTTCCTGTGCATCCCACAGGCTCCGGGAGCCGGGACAGCCCAGGGAGGGCTGGGGTCGGGGCAGGTCTGTGCCCCCAGCTCAGTTCTCCTGCACGGAAAGGCCATGTGGAGCTGGGCATGGCTGAGCAATCCCACCCTGGGAACCCCCCCAAAGCTCAGCCCAGCGCTGAGGGTCTCTTAACCACACAGAGGAGAAGGAATGTGTGTCATGCTGGACGGAAAGGGATTTTTTGGGTCTCTGGTGAGACCTCTTGGATGTGATCCCGGGGAAGGAATGACTCGGAGGTGGCTCCTCGGGCATTTCCCTGTGTATCCCTCACAGAACGAGCACCTCTGGCTGTAAACAATAAATCCTGGAAATTGTTCCACTCTCCCTGCACATCCCAAAGGCATCTGGAAAGGAGCCCAGCCCTGGGGAGGAAGACAGGCAGGCCATGCTGAGTGTCCCGCTCTGCAGGGACAGGGGTTTGGTGGAAGTGACACAGAGTTTGGCCCAGCCCAACCGGATTCGTGTCACACCAGGAGTGGCCTTGACTCCCTGTCCTGCCAGAGCCCAGCCTGGAGCTGGGCTGCCTTAGGTTGTCCTCATGCTGCTTTTTCCAGAGCAGGGCTCTTCCAAGGGCAGGGGGGCACCCAGAGGAAGGAATTATTAATTTCCAGGAACATCTGAACCAGTGGGAGCTCCTGGAATCCTCCTCAGTGCTGGATGTGTTTCCATTGGGGCTGGGGAGCCGTTGGAGCCAGGGCTGTTTCCATGAGTGCAGGGCATTCATCCCCTGGGAAGCCTCTTCCCCGAGTTCCCTTACAGCAGGACAAGCACAGGACCTGTGCGCCAGCCTGTCACAAGAGTAACCACAAACCAAAAACCCTTCTTTTGCTTGTTCTGAACCTGCATCCCCTGCTCTCCTTAGCACTTGGGGGGCTCTTTGGGACTTCGGGAGCTGCTCCCTTCAGCCCCTGCTGCTCTCATCCCTCTGGGACCGGCCAGCAGCATCCCGAGCAGGAAACCTGCAGTTTTCCAGGGGGAACAGCCTCATGCTCAGCTTTGATCCCTTCTCCTCCCCTCTGGCCTTGTCCCTGAGCTGGGGGAGCTGGGTGCCCCCTGCAGCTCCAGCACAGGGCGGGGACACGCTGGGGCCGGGACAGGAGCGAGCTCAGCTGGAGCTGCTGGCCCGGCAGGATCCCTGGGAGTGGCCAAAGCTGCTTTAGTGACGGTGCTCTGTGCAGACTGTCACCGCGCAGGGGCTCAGCTGCCTCAGCCCCCCGGAAAGAGGGACGGAGGTGACAGGCCATGCCAGGAGCTGCCAGGGATGGGGATGGAGATGGTGACAGCTCGTGTGACCCCCAGCTCTGCCCACCCGTGCGACGGCTGCCCTGTGCACAGATCAGCCCCGCTCCCGGGGTGGTTTGGGTGGAGTTACTCGGCTCGCTTGCATGTGTTGGTTTCTCCTGCTGCCTTTTTGGGAGCATCCTCCCTTGTTGTCCCATCTCGGCCCATTCCAGCTCCCGCCCTCTGCCCCTCCGTCCCCTTCTGCTCTCTGACTGCACCGCTCAGGATTGCGATGATGAAAATCCGCCCCTAAATACGATAAAGATGTGCTGTGCCTCCTCCGTGTGCGGCTCCGCCTGCCCTCCTCTGGGGACACGGCGGGGTCACAGGCTGTCCCCGCCGGGTGAGCGCTTTGGGCACTGCCCGCTTTGGGCACTGCCAGCGCTGGCCCCGGGCTCGGAGCGGCGCGGGCAGTGCCTGGGTGGTCCAGCTGTCCCTCCCTGCCCCAGGCATCCCCCGAGGCTCTCGTGGCACAAAGGCTCCATTACACACTTCCCAAGCTCGCTGTTAGCTGCCAGAGACGTTACTCAATGCAGACACCGCCAGCGGCCAAATCCCGTCCGAGCGCAGCCGGGCAGGAATTACACCCGGGGCCCGCGGGGAGCCCTCGCCACCTGCTGCAGGTGAAATTCAGCTCCTGCCACGAGGGCTCCGTGTTTCAGTGGGAAAACCTCTGCCCTGTGCCTGCAGGGGACGGCACAGACGGGGGCTGCAGGGAGAGCTGCTCCCCTCCTGTCCCCTCGTGTGCCCCACACGGGCACCGGGAGGGCAAGGACGGGACCCCGGGCAGAGCACACTGAGCCCTGCACTGCAGCGCGGCAGAGGATCAGGCACAGGATGAAATCCCCGGAATCCCCTATTGACCGGGCTCCTCCTGCCGTTTGTCCTAAGGAGCAAACTGGAAGCTCTGCGAGGGATCACAAGTTCCCCAAGGCTTTGTGCAGAAAGCCTCCATGAGGTCACCCCCTTCCTGCTCTTGCAAAACCCTTCCCCCTGTGAATCCTCTGTGCAGGGCAGAATCTACCCTGAATCCAGCTCTGGCTCCAGCAGGTCCTGGGGCTGGGCTGGAGGATTTTAAAATACGTGGAGATGAAAGCAGAATCTTCAGAAGGGTCTGTGAGGTGACGCACAAGCAGCACTGACCCAGGGCAGTGCCCCGTGGCTGTGCCAGTGCTGCTCTGCACCCTGTGCAGGGACACCACGCCTGCCCCGGGTACGGGCTCAGAGCCAGGCTAACAGCAGCACCTGAGCTGTTCTCTCATGGCTAAGAACAGCTTTTATAGGACCCAGGACACGGTACCCGCACTGCCGCCCTGGGGATTCCTCCAGGATTTGTGCCAGCTGCCCAGGAAATGGCACATCCTGGTGGAGAGGTAACCAGGGGACAGAGACACTTAGAGAGACAGATGAGGCTGGACAAGGGCTGTGCACAGGACAACAGGAACAGCAGGAGACAGCCAGACTGATTTTAGGCTGGTTTCCTAAGGAAACGAACCCGGGAGCACCGAGTGCCCTGGGAGCCCCCAAAGCACCGGGCTGACCCAGCTGGAACCCAGCAGAGGAGACCAAAACCTTAAAACCCCTTTTAGGGTGTGCGGGGATGGCTGGGTCGGGCCCAGCTGGTGGCACTGATTGAGGGGGTGGCTCTGGGGGATAAAAGCAGCTGGGCTGGCTGTCCCCTCCCCCTTGAGCGGGGCTGGGGGGCTTTGTGCTGTCACGGGCACCTGGCAGTGGCTGCGTTCCTGGGCGTCTCCCGGGCCCTTGGTTCCAGCAGCCCTGCCCCGTGCTCGGCTGCGGATCCAGGTACCGCGGGGGCAGCGGGGCTGGGGAGGCTGGCACCCGGAGAGGGGAGCGGGAGCCGAGCCCGGGCAGCAGCAGCGACAGAGGGCGAGGGAAGGGAGCCCCAAGGAGGGTCTGCACCCCGGCCTGTGGCCTCTGCCCAGCTCCCAGCTGTCCCCGTGTCTCGTTTTGTACCCCACTGTAGATTCGGTGAGACACATGGCGAGTTTTTTAAAGACGATCCTGGAGCCATCCGAGGAGGATGCGTTTGACCACCTGACGTGGATGGAAAAGCCTTCTGTCATCAGCATCTCTGGGGGCCTGAGCTCAGGTGAGGGCGGCGATGGGCACGGGAGATGGGCAGGGTTACAGCAGAGCATCCCCCAGCCTGGGCATTTCCCTCTCGCTGCTTTCTGCTAAACTTTGGGACGTTTTTACTGACAATGCTAAATCTCCCCCGGGCTGAAACTCAGCTCCTGGCTGCAGGTGGAGATGCTTTGTGCCGTGCCAGGGTGAAGGGCCAGTTTTTCTCCTTGGTTCTGCTGCCCTGCGTGCCTCCAGCACCGCGGGAAGCTCTCGGGCCCTCGGGATTCGGGCAGCTCCCAGGGGAGTCAGGATTTACTCTTCGGTGAATGTGGGACGCACTCCCCGAAATATCGGGAGACACTCGATTTTGTTTCAGGCAGCGCACCGCAAAAGTAATCCTCACTTTCTAAGTTCCCGTGGCAGTTCGCTGCCCCAGGTATAACTTTCCCCTCCCTGACTGCCGATAATTGTATTTAATTAGTGGCTAATTGCAGCCATTAGCGCCTCGTTTGTCTCGGCTGCTCGGGCAGGGAGTTTGTGTTCGCACCAGGTGACACCGAGATGGTTTCCTGGGTATTTGCGCGTGGTTCGCAGAGCGAACATTGAATTTTGCGTGTGGAAAATCCTCCGCAGAGGCATCGGAGCCGGACTGCGGGTGTGCGATCCTTCGCTCCTGTGGGAAGCGAGTCTGCGGCACAGCGAAGTGATAACGGAGTCTGTCATTTAATTCTGGGTAGTTTGAATTTCCCGGCACGTGGGTGTGCCTTGGCGTGGCTCTGGCCACCCAGGGCCAGGTGGAGGAGCCCTTCCACCAAGCTGCGGGGTGCAGCCCTGCCCCAGGCACCCCAAAGGGTGCCACTGGCTCCCCGTGGAGCCCCCAGCCCATCCATGCCCGGTGGAGGGTCGTGTCCCCTGCGTGCTCAGAGGGCTCTGGGTGCCCCTGCCGGGCTGTACCTGTGGGGGCTGAGCTGTTTCCAGCCCTGTCTCATGGCCGGGATCCCTCCGCTCTTCTGTCACCTCAGGTGTCCCAGGGGACAAGAGGTGTGTGTTCCTCAGGGAGCTGCTCTGTGCCCCCTCCCAGGTTTGCCTTGGGCAGCAGTGCTGGAGAGACAGAGGGCCCTGCTGTGTGCAGACAGACAGACACCAGCATGCTGTGTGCACCTGGAGCCCTGCCAGGGGAACATGGAAAGCAGATGTTGGACTGGGACCTGCTGGAGAGGCCGCGGGCCCTCGCTTCCTCCCGTGCCTCTGTGTCAGGGCTGGAGCCGGGAGCTCTGCGGGGCTCGGTGCAGGCCTGAGGGGAATGGGAACGTCTGCTCTGGTGGGCTCGGTGCAGGCCCGAGGGGAATGGCAATGTCTGCTCTGGTGGGCTTGGTGCAGCCCTGAGGGGAATGGCAATGTCTGCTGTGCTGGGCTCGGTGCAGGCCTGGCTGAAGGGAATGTCTGCTCTCTGCTCTCCTGGGCTCGGTGCAGCCCTGACCGAGGGCAATGTCTGCTCCCTGCTCTCGTAGTGTCCACAGAGTGCAGGAACAGCCAGGAGCCCCGTCACACGGGGGCTGAGGCACCATCAGGAGTTGAGGTGCTCCCACTGCTGTTCTGTGTTCCTGGAGCTGCTCTGGGTTCCCCCGGGTGGCCGCTGCAGGCAGCTGGGTGTGGGTCCCCCCCAGGCCAGCACTGGGGATCTGAGCCCTTCCCCACGGGCTTGGGCCAGAGCCTCACATCCCTTTGAACTTCCCAAAGAAATATCCCGATGGGTGAGATCCCAGCTGGACTCCACGAACCTCCCTGACTTCCACAGCCGAGGAATGGAAATTCTCTCCCTTCTCCTTTGTCCTTTGCTGTGTCACCTTGTGCTTGCTCACCAGGTGCGGGGGCTGAGCAGCAGGGGATGTATCTGCACCATGGAAAAGGATCCTAATTCAAGGCTCTGCAGACATTCCCATTCCTGCCAGCCCTGGCTCCTGCAGTTCGGATGTGGCAAGGAGCAGTTCCTGCTGCACAGGAGGTGTCTGGGGGAGCTGGAAGTCTTTTTGCAGCTTGAGATTTCTCTGCTTTCAACAGAAAAAAAAAAAAAAAAAAAAAGAGAACATGCAGGAATTTTATTCTGTCTCGCCCACAGGCTCTGCTTGCGAATTTCCAAGGGAGTTTGATGGTTCAGGGTTGAAGAGAGCAGACAAAGGTTGCTACAGGGAGGAGGGATCCATTTTGCTGAGCAGAAAAACTTCAGTGGAGTGATTTTGCTCTTGGAGTGAGGAGCAGCACTATTGGGAAATCCATGCTGGAGAGGATGTTCTGAGGGACTTGTGCCTTTCCTGCTCCAGGCCATGTGTGCAGCTGGAGCGGCCCCAGCCCTGGCTGACTTTCAGGGCAGATTAGGGAAACTAATTGGATCCAAATGCCCTGATGTGGCTCCTCTGGCTGTGGAGTATTTGAGACCCAAGGGGTGATTTGAGGTGTTAAATGGCTCTTGTGTGGGGCTGAGTCCCACAGGTGAGGGCCTGGATGTGCCTGATGGCTCGGGCAGGACTTTTCTGTGGAAAAGAAAACCAGCACTGGAGGGAATTAACCTTTTGCTGAGGAAACTCTGGCCAAGGGCGTGTCACTGTTGGCAAGAAAAATCTCTGGATGCTCTTGGACATAGTGGTCTGTGCTTTCATTTGAGGGTGCCTCTGTTTTTGGGATTCAGGCACTTTATGGAGTGTTAATCCGAGACATCCCTTTCCTACAGCTCAGGGAAGGGACAGGGTGGGGAGAGGGCTCGGTTTGACTGTTCTTGGCCTTTGCCTTCCTTGCCCCCTGGGAAGATCGTTCTGATTTCCACTTCCAAGTCCCATGCAATGGAGAGGAGAGCTGAGCTGAGCCGTTCTCCAGGCAGGGATTCCCTGCGAGGTTTCCTTGAGCACAGCCCAGGAAGGACAGTGCTGTGAGTGACTGTCCTGGGGAGGACCCTCCTGTTTCCGGGACACCTGTGCTCCCCGTGCCCAGGCTCCTTTGGTGTTGGTGTCTCCGGGAAATCCCATCCAAAGTTCCATGCAGGAATGTGTGAGGGATGCAGGAAAGAGCAAGCAAAGCTCTTGGGGACGCTTGTAGAGAAGCACAGTGTGGGTGTCACTGTAGGTGGCTGATCTGAGGGTTTCCATGTGCCACCTGTGTCCTGCTGGCCCCTCTGTCCCCCAGCAGCTCCTGGTGGCCTGTGGTGTGTCCAGGGCTGAGCCCTGCTGCTGCAGCAGCCTGTGCACAGCGTCTCCTCTGGTCAGGAGGGTGAGCAGCTCCTCCAGAAATCACCACAAAGCTCCTCGTGTCGGTCTGGGTGTGCTGCAGGACCCTGGGAATGCTGCTTTCCCTTCTGGTGAGCTGTGGTGTGAAAATGGGGAGTTTCCTGTGCTGAGTGAGGCTGGGGGCTGACAGAGAGCTGCCGCTGATGGCAGATACAGAAAGGGTCACGAGTGGTGACACAAGTGGTGATACAGGGCTCTGAGTGTTCCCTTGATGACAGAGCTGTTCACAGCTTCTGTTGGTTGTCAGAAGTGCCTTCCCAGCTCGGGATCCCGGGCGAGGCTGGGTCACGGAGGAGCTGCTCAGCCCAAAGCCCAGCTGCCTCGGGAGAGGGCTCCTGCTGGCTCTGGGACATTCCCCATGCAAGCCAGGGCTGTCCTCCCCTCTCCGAGATAAATGGGTCTGGGTCTGTGACACCCACCAGGGACAGGGAGTAGGAAAGTGATGTCACCCAGACCTCAGATCATTCAGGTCATTCAGGGAGGCTCCCAAAAACACACAGCCCCCACCAGAACTCGGCAACCACAACTCCTCGAGGGAATTTCTTCCCTGGATGTGTAAATTTTATTTTTATCCTCATGTGCAGCTGCTTTGGCAGAAGCTCTGGAGACCCCGGGGCTGGGAGGATCTGGGCAGGGGGAAAACACAACAGAAAGGAGGGACTGGTGCAGCTGAAGCACTCCAGAAGGTCATTTAATGAAACAAATGTGACAGCCCCGGGGATAATCCATGTGCAGGCCAGGCTCGTGTGCTCCGGCCCTGCCCGGGTTATATTTGGTGGTGGGTCTGGGCAGGGTTTCCTTTCCTGCCCTCGTGTTTGCTGTGCAGGAATGAGGGACTGGGGAGCCCCTCCTGGCTTTCCTGGGGACGGGCAGGGGGAGGCTCCCTCCAAGGAAGGGGGATTGTGCAGAGATGGATCTGGTTGGACACTGAATGTTCCTGTCTCACATTTCTGGCGTGGCAGGGAGGTGTCGCAGCCCTGCAGCATCTTCCTGCTAAAAACAGCTGCTGTCCCTGCCCTGCTCGTGGTGTCCAGGACAGTTTGTGTCCAGAGGCCCCTCCCGGGAATGTGGGGTGGGGCAGGGCTGCGTGCTGGGCTGCCATGGCACGCACCCCCAGGGGCTCGGGGTGACATGACCTTGTCCGTCCTCTCCTGCTCCGTGAACAGCCTGCCCAGGCTGGGGTGGCATCCCCATCCCTCGGGGTTTAGCAGCTGTGGATGTGACACTTGGGGACAGGGTGCAGGGGTGGCCTTGGCAGTGCTGAGGGAATGGCTGGACTCGGTGATCTTGGAGGGCTTTTCCGGCTTAATTCCATGAATCTTTGATTTCAAAGAGCCGGTTTGCTCAGGCAGGGCTGGGGTTTGAAACGCTGAGTGCAGCAAAGCCAAACGCCTGGAGCAGGGAGGGAGTTCTGTGCTGGAGCGATGCTGCTGGCCCGGAGCTCGGGAGATGTTTGGGCAGTGACATCTGCCGGGGGCTCAGCCCAGCGGGGGCCAGCCTGGGAACATGTGAGACTGGGATGAGCAGGAGCAGCCCAGCCCTGCGCCTGGAATGTCCTGCCTGGAGCACGGTGTCACTTGTCCTGTCACTTCTCCTCTCAGCCCACGTGCTGATGGGGCTGGCTGGGAATGTTTCCCTGTGCTAAGGGGAATTTCATGGCAAATGAAAACAAACAGTACGAGTTTTCCATTTGGAGGGATTGTTTTCACTGAAAAGTGAGATTTTCTGTTCTCTTGCCTGAACACGT